GAATTGGAAAACAAAGAATCATGAACTTAGATCGCTGCTGCAGGCACCTAAAACAGGTTAAGTGACCCTAGAAAATGACATTGCTCAAAAAGCTCAGTAATGAGCAGAGAAGGAGGTGCTGCAGAAGCTAGTGACATGATTTGTACTTCCCCACGGACAGGGAGAGCCTTACTCCCAGCACTTTGGAAGAAGCAGGTGGGATGTGTGGACAGAAGGGGTCCTTGGTCTGGAAGAGAGAGTTAGTGTCACAGGAAAAGCATAAAAGGGTGGATAATCTCACCGTGGAGCAAGCAATAACCTGAAGAGGTTAGAGAACAGATGGTTTGAAACCAAAAAGAAGTTAGACAATCTGGGAGAGGGACTTCATGAAACAACTGGTCAGAAGCGCAGACACATGTGGGAGCCAATGCCAAAAACATCCACAGACTCCTGAACTCTCCAATAGGACTGTGATGGTTCTCAGAAAGGACAGAAGGAACCTTCAGGAACCCTAGTCCAAAACTGCCACACAGACTGCTCGGTGACTGCTCAACCTTGGAGGCAGATAGTCTCGCTCAGGCCCTTTCTGATTTTACCTATAATTTCATGATTCTGTTAATTCTACAGAGCATGCCCAGACCTCCCACGGTCTGTGCAGCTTGGCACCTACCTCTTGGCCAACCTCCACTCCCTCAGAGGGGCTGCGGCAGCAAAATCCCAGTACTTTTACCCCGGTAACAGCAAAGCTAGAGCAGCATGTGCACTTCCATACAGGCTACACAACCCACAGGGAGCGCCTGTGCATGAACCAGAGGGTTGATCATCAGGGAATATTAAATGATCCTGGGTTTCATTCTCCCTGGGAGGGCAGATGACGAGGCTGTTATAAATGTGGAAGCTAGGTTTTGTTGAAATCTGGCCTTGAAAATGTGTCTGTCTGTCTACTCTGAATAACCCCTTTCCTTCTCAGATCCCTTCCTCAACAGGCGAAGGGCCAATGACTTCATACAAGCTGACACGAGACTAGAAGCCATCTCTCGGGAGAGGTAGGTTATGGCCTCGGGGCACTGGGAATGGGAGTGGGGAGAGGTCTCTCCTCGCCAGGCACAGGCTGGTACCAGGGAAGGGAGCCATGGTGACTTCTGAGAAACCTAAGCCCCTCTCACCGTGTCAGGTGCCTGTGAATTCCCCACCCCTGGGAGAAGCCAGAACTCACACAGCAGAGAGTGAGTCCTTGCACCTGAGGGTGTCATGTGTTGGGAAGGTTCTGCTTAACTTGTCTGAAGGGAACACCAACATGAGGAGAGGGAAACAGTGTGAGATGGCCAGAAAGGTAGCTCAGTTTGAGATCTGTGCTAGTCCTCAGCTCTCATGCAGGATTTGCATGACCGTTCTAAATCACAGGGCCATCTGGGGGCCTCCTTGCCTCATCTATGAAAAGCAGATATTGGCAGTTTTATGCCTTATGCAGGTCTTGTGAAAATAAAGGCTGAATCACAGAAATCATCTCCTAGTGAGGCATCAAGGCAAACCTTCGCAGTAGCAGGTGGCCCCTTTCAGGATGTTTGTTCCATGGGTGGCCTTGGGGAAGAGCAGAAGAACTGAAGACAGCAGGCTGGGGGGGGCTGCGGAGAGAGGACTCAGGCTGAGACAGGAGCCATCCCTCTGTCCCTACCACCCTACTTAGCCCTGAAATAAAAGGTTTCCTGGGGAGGAAAAGTGCTCCTGTTGTAGCCACATCGCTCCCCTGGGTGTGGTGAACATGGAAACTAGTATGCTAACATCTTGGCAGCTGGATGATGGAATCTGGTGGGGGATTGTGGGACAGGGAAGGGCTGCAGACAGATATTTAAGATGACAGCACTTACCACTCATCTCTTCTACTTTTTCAGGATCAGGGAGCGTAATAAGGCGCCCCATGAACGTCAGAGGGAGATGTGTGAGGACTACTACCCTTGCGAACTGTACGCTTTCCGCCATGGCTATCCTGCTGCTTACAGGCACTACTTTGGGAGGAGGAGGACTAAGTAAAGGATGTCCTGTCCCCACCCTGGTGCCTGGAGCCCAGGGTATCCTCCCAAAAAAATGCAATGGCTCTGAAACATATTCAGTTGCTTGTGTCCCTGTATGTTATCCTGCCTGCTGCTTCTATCCCATGTAGCCATGGATTCCTACACTGTGTTAATGAGCGCTGAGCTGATGTAGCAGAGATCAGAGAAAGTTCAGGAAGTGGGTGTTTACTCCACAATAAATTTCTGGTTTGATACTATCTTCTCATGAGTCACAGTATTTTGCGGGGGTGTGTGGGCAATTTTCCATGAAAAAGCTGACTTTGTTTATCATAGAATCTGGTGTGGGTTACAGAAAAGAAAGTCACTACCTTGCAATCACAGGAGTTTGAAAGGATCTACAGTGGTTTTGTTCTAGGGTCTGCAAACAGCTTCTTTCAGAGGTCACTGGCAAAATTCTGTTCCAAGTCTTAAGACATCTTAAATTGGTGTGGTGTTCAGAAAGCAGAAATGCAGTTTTTGAAAATGAAGTTTATAGTGTCTTTTATCAGCTGGGGAAACAAAATTCAGAAGGTGCCTGTTTAATCTCAAAAACAGTTAGGGCAAGTGTTAGTGACAGAAAAAGCCTGTAAATTGCATCTTGTCTATCCATCTACCCTTAGGTCCTGATGTAGGGTGCTCCTGTAGAAAGTAGCGTGCGACGAAGACCTTAATCATATTTCCTTTTGGAATCCCCTTTCATGCCCTTAATTCCACTTGGAATGATTCTGGTAGTGCTAGAAAGCTGCAGAAACCAAAGGTGAAGAGGGGCTCCAGGTGGTATATAAAAAAATAAAAGAAACTCAGTGTTGGGGGTTAAGCCCAACCCTTCAGTTATAGCAAGTTTATTTTACTGTTCATAACTCATTCAAAATCAAGATGTGGCCTGAGCCCATGCACAGGTTGCTGAGGAGTGAGCGTGACTGCTGTCGGGTTGTCACCAGCACCAGAGCATCTCACAGAGCCTGTCCCCAGGCCAGAAAGTACCAGTGATGACTTGCCCAGGATTTCAATACTGCTCGGGGCTGGTCAGCAGCCACAGCAGCTCAGAGACCCCTCAGTGTGGTTTGTGTAAGACACATAACATCTTCTATCTTAGCACAGCTGGTTGTGGTATTCACATCTCTAGGATTCCATGGGCACCCACACATTGTAGAAGTGGGAAATACTCCTGGCATGCTCTCAAAGGCTATGGGGTATAAAGTAGCAAATTGTTGACTATTCTGTGAGGTCTAGAGCCAAATCTACCTGCCACATTAGAAACATGCATCTTTCTGTGAAATATGCTTCAAGGCTTTGCTAGCTTTGAAGATGAACTTCTGGAAAGAAATGTGATTTATTTATTGAAAACACCTCTCATGGGAAACTCCACCCTGGGAGTTGCTGAAGTTTTGTCCAAAGGAAAAAGTGTGTGATAAATGATTTTAAGGGAGAAAAGCCATGCAGATTAGGTATATTTGCACCCACACTTGTTTTGCATGTTCCCAAGTAGCTGAATGTTATGATCATGAACCAAAGCAACACCTTCATACCTTAAAGTCAACAAATCTGCAATGTTTGGGTTTGACTTAACACTGTGACACTACCAAGATGGAAGCACAGGGCGAGTGCTGTATGAGTCTGGGCCCAGAAATATCTGGCAATTCCAAACTTTGGTTGACCAGTATAAATAATGAATAATACCCGAGATTTCTGTGGGATTTCATTAGGGTAAGCAATAACTAAACATGTTGCAGAGACTGCATGCTGGTTAGAAAGCTTGGGAAAAGTTAGGAAAAGAAGTAAAGCTGTTTGGATTACTAGAATTGTATATTTATATTCTTTCAAGTTTTCTTTGGAAGCACTAACTTTCCTAGAATACTTTTAGATATTTATCTTTAAACTGTTGCTGTTTAAGATACTTTTGCTGGAAGTAGTTAATATATATGTTCAGCCTTTCCTGGACTGTAGAAGAGTTAAAGTTTTTTTTTTTTTTTAAATCCTGAAATTTCTCTAAACTAAAATCCTAAAATCCAGTGTTTCTAGGGATTGGCACAATCTCTAATGGTTCTGACTGCCCTTGGGAGATTTTTAGGTATTAATTCTGTAACCCTTGAGTGTCTCTCCTGTATGTGTGGCCAAGAAGGACTAGATATGAGGTGGAGGAAAATGTGAGCCATGTGCTGTGTTTGGGACGTGGTTTTGGAACTTGGCTGGTGGGCCTGGGGACTATGGGGCTGTTGATAGATAGGTTGAAGAAGAGGCCATGCAGGGCTCTTGACATACCAAGCAACTCAAGTCCTGAAAACACTTTTGGAGTTTCAAGGTTTATTTGATATTTAGAAAAGTGAAACTAAACTAATAGCCTCCATACCAGGAAGATTTCCATGGAGAAAAAAGAAACACCTTCCCCCAAACTATAAAAGAATCTAACAGTATAAAAATCTAAGCTCTCTGAAGGGGTTTGGTGAAACAGTCTGAAGTGAAAATCTACTGTGTGTTTGCAAACTGTTTCATTGGTTTCTTTACCTCCAGAGGAATGGTTCAGGGTGGGGTGGGGAAAAAGGGTCACCATTGTGTTTAGTCTCATTTGATTATCCACAGGACAGAGCTTCATCACACAAAAGGAACTGCACTGCTTCAGGGTGTGCTGGTCTCTCCCCTGGCTTTCCAGAAAGAAACTGAATTACTTTCATGTGTATAATAAAAACTGGTGGGTTTTTATCCAGTTGTTTTTCTTCAAACCCTCAGATAAAATCTTCTGGAAATGCGACGAGTCCTGAGATTGATGTCCAAAGGGCTGCCAGGACCCGATATCTCCTGGCCCAAAGGACAGGCTTTGTTTTGGAGCTCAGACACGGAACACAAGCCAGAGCCCCAGGCTCTCCAGGCAATCACAGGATATAAACTGCTGCCTGGATGCAAGCTCCGGAGAACCTCAGTAACCTCCAGGAAAGCTCTGAGGTTAGGGAGACCAGGGCAGCCAAAGAAGACATGAGGAGGCTGCTGGCACCGCTGATGGTGACTCTGGCCCTGGCAGTGCTCTGCTGCTGTGAGAAAGGTAAGGGGACGTGTTCCCGGGAGTGCTGCTCAACCCTGCAGCTTGTCGACAGCCTCCCGTCATCTGGGAGAGACGCACAGCTTCGGGGGGAGGAGGTGCACAGCCAGCCATTGCACAACTTCAGAACTCTGTCCTAGAGACAGCTGTGGACGGGAGAGGGCTTGGGGATACAGAACCTCATCTCCTGCTGGGGACTTTCTTCCACTGGTCAGTTGCAGTGTTGAATTGCAGCAGAGAACTGGAACATTTTAATATGTTTAAGCATTAAAGCAGTTTAGCATTTAGGTGAACTGGCAAAGATATGTTGGCTCTCACTTTTGAGTAACAGGGTTGAGCTGTGAGCAGACTTGTCGACCACAGGGAAAGGGATTTGTGCCTGCCAGCCCTGGAGAGCTGTAGGATCACAGAGATAAGCATCCAGTCAAGCCTTCACCTGCAGGGAAATGTGGGATGTGGAGAACATCTGGAGGAAAAAAGCCTGCTATTGGTGACTAAAAAAAGGGAGTTGACCCACTGAAATAAGAGCACATCACATTTGAAGATGATTTAGTGATAGTGACTTCATGATGAAGACATGGTAACGTATTGGCAGCTCTACAGTTGAAGAGAGAGGGGAGGGGGAAAAATCAGAAAGACAAGAGTTTTCCCTTTACAGCAAGAAAAGGGAAGCTGAGCAGGAGAGAGCACTGTCTTTTCCTGTATTATCATTCAGAGTTAAATTTTGTTCAGTCCTTGGCATTAGGTATGTCATGATTCAATACTGGCAAATATATTTTGTTTGACCAGTGTTTTCCTTCTGTCAGTCTCTTTCTCACTTTTTCACTCTTGAGTATGCATCTACTTTTTCTTTTTCAGTCATTATTATGTTCCAGAATGCTTAATGGACTTGGAGTAACTTCTAATTTTTTTATTTTTTTTATTTTTTTTCAATCCAAAGAATGTATACATTGTTTAAGAATAGAACTATACACAACCCTTTTCACACAAAGCTTTTGTTTAAGCACAGTTGGGTTTTTTTTTTTTTGGTCTCTAGAGTCCTCTTTCTGCCATAAACACACTTATGCAAATACCTGTTGACTTGGGTAGAAAACAGCTGAAAAAGATGTGGGGAAATAGAGGAAGAAAAAAATGGTGAAGTAGGGCAGTGTGGAAGACCCAAGACTAGGAGACCTTCCGTTTCTCTTAGAGGATGCTTCCCTTGGGTGTTTGCAGGGAGCATTAAGGATTAGGATTAGGACTGGACACAGAAATACAGTGTGTAAATTCCTCTTTGGAGGGCTGCTGAGCCAGGTACCTTAACTCTGAGACAGAGAGCTGTGGGGACAGTGTTGTTCCTAATTTTTGTCGTTGGTTCTCTTCCCTATCAATGGCTTGTAATTTCTCCCTAGCGTTAAGGAAACTTCTCTTTCCAAAGATAGAGGAGATACTCAGCTATTTTCAGGTTCTGACCAAATCTGAGGTTTTGCTGAAATGGTTCCTTAGCTCTAGCTGTCCCTGCTCTTAGCAAGCGTGGGGAGGGAGGAGGAAGGTCTTCCTCCAGCTTCCACAGTGGTTATATGTTTATTGTGCCATTTAATCTGGCTCAGAGGAAGCAGAAATTTAACAAATCCAGGCATAATGGGTGAATTTTGCTGTGGCAAAGTCTATCTCTAAATGGTGGGTGCTAATAAAACCCTTTTTGGGAGGAACAGACCTTTTGGGAAAATGGGGGGAGCTGGACCCAGCTAGTAGGCAGAGGGATTCAGTTACAGAATGGAGCAGAGGAGAAGGACTCATAAGCAAACTTCTTTCTTTCTGTCTGTCTTCCAGATCCCAAAGACCCCTCTGGATCTCCCAGCACTCCCAGTGAGTATACCATTGTGAACAATGATCAGCTCCATTCTTCTGCATCCACTTCCCTTCTTCCCCTGGATAGGTTCAAGGGATGAACAAGAACCATGCTGAGTCCCTTGAGATGCTCCCTTTCTGCTCCCTCAGCAGCTCAGTGTCTGAGGGGCAGACACATCTGCAGCAAAGAGAGGGGCTGCCTTTCACAGCCATGGGGGCAGGAGACACGAGGGCGGTCAGCATCCCTGCACCAGCAGCCTAGCATCGTTCCAGGGGTGCTAGGGCCATAGCCTGCATCTCCACGACCCTTGAGAAGCCTCCAGGCAAGACATGAGTCCTGCAGGTTGTTAGCAGCGGGATGCATCTCCCCTCTGTGAAATAGGTTGATGCAGGTGGAGCAACATGGCTGGTCTCCCCTGGCCTCAAAGGCCTATCCAAAGAGGTTGCTGTGTCCCCAGACTGTTAAGAGAGCAGAACCTGCCCCAGGGCCTCCAGGCACTGTTTTTTTTGAATTAGCTGAGCAGCCAGTCTGGTGTACAGGATCACAGAGCAGAAAGGTTTGGAGCTACACTGTGACATCCCTGCCAAATCCCACAAGCTGGAAAGCCTGAAAACAAGCACCTGTCTTAGCTACTGCTGGGACCTGCATCCCCTCCTCTGTCAGGTCACCTGGGCCATGGGGATTTGCACACCTTGAGATGTCCACAGCTTTTGCAGCAAGCTGATCCTGGCAGAAAGCTCTCTGGAAAATCTCCCTTGTTCTTCCCTGTCTCTCTTTTCTCACACCTTAAAGGATACAGTACTGCTGGGGATCATGAAAGCTGGTATTTCTCCAGTGAGCCAATACAAACACAGACTGGGAAAGAGAAAAAGATGCAAAAGTGTTTGGAGAAAGGTGGTGATTTCTGACAGCTCATTAGTTGGCAGTTTCTGTGTTGTCAGTATTTTGATCCAGACTAAACTCCAGCTTGCTTGAGAGGGGGCACCTGCCAAACCAAAACATGATCAAACACCCCACAATGATGAGGAAAGGGCACAAACCCGACTGTCTGCCCACAGGCAGAGGTCCTAGGAACTTCTGTCCCCCAGTGACAGCAAAGGTTTGCCAGTTTCTCCGCAGAAACCTGTACTGGTGTGCAGCTGCCTGTGTTGCTGGTCTGCTACCATCCATGCACACCTCTGCTGGTGCGGATCCATCCCATGGGGAGAGGCTGGGCTGGGCTGTGCTGAGCTCTGGCTGGAAGTGGGGGGTAAAGTGGCTCTACCTGATCTTTGTGGAGTGCTCCACAGCACGCTGCTGTTTGCGCAGCCACAAATCCAATGGGGCAAATAAGCAACTGCAGTGACATGGTGTGTTAGTGGAGACCTGGGGCCAATGCTGTCATGGCACAAAGACCTTTCATGTTCCCCACTTCCTGAACACCAGGATCTCTGCACCTCCTGGGTGTATATCACCCTGGGTGATGTTTACTGTCATTATTTTATGCCCTTCACCTTTCATGGAGCTCTGCACACGTAAGCATTGGTATTTCCTTGTGCCATCTGTTGCTGATGGCTCATTAGAGGCATTTTTAAGGCCTGGTGTCTGGTATCCCACATCACACTCAGAGTCAAAATATAGAAAGGAAGCTAAGACACTGAAGTTAAGCAGTCTAGGGAGAGAAGGTGCCATTCCCTTTATTTTCTCCTTATTCATATTTTATGCTGTCATGACTTTGCCTTCTGAGCATTGGCTGTGGACCCAGATCATGTTGTGTGATAAGGGAATTGAGTTTATGACAGTTTATGGCCCTTGGTCCATGTAGATGTGCAGGTTGGAGTGAGGAAGGAGCCCAGCTGTTGGGCTTTGAGTGGACAGTGGAGTGGGGAGAGATGAACAAGCAATTAGGATGGCTCGTGGAAGTCATCTGCTTGGGAAGAGAGTATACTGTTCATTTTCAGGGGTTAGACTGGTGTCTGTTTTTCACAGAACATGGCCCTGCATCTCTAAGCTCTGTTTTCTCTCTTGGTAGGCATCAAGATCAAAAAGGAAGTTGCCAATGCCTTTGTGAAGAGGCAGAAGAGATTCAGCATGTCTGAATGGTAACAACTCACGAGTCAGGCTGAGAGCTGGACTCTGGACCTGTTCTGAAGAGTGGGTGGGAAGGCAACAGGACTTGACCAGGCATTAATTTGTTGCACGTCTATGTTATTGCCTTCATGTGTTGAAGCAAAAAGGCTGTAGGAGACACTTATTGATAGAGAATGTTTTTTTTTTACATAAATATCCTTTTGAGAGCTCATAGCTGGACTCTGACATTCCTCCCAGGCAGGAAGACAGTACTAGCTGTCTGGGCTAGCCATGGGGACAGCAGGATACAAGTTAGAATCCGCTCTAACCTGCAGGGTCATCAAAGCTGGTTTCCAGGATAATGAGCATCACAGAGCCTTGGCCATTGCCTCTGGCCCCCTACAAAGGAAGCACAGCTCTGTTGCAGGGATGAAGCTAGATCAGAATAGCATTCTGAAGCTGTAGACCCTGCATAGGTTTGTGCAGAAATCCTAGGCACAAAGATTTAGAGAAGTCCTAGATATAAACATTTGAGGTCATGCAAGAATGTTCTTCACAAATTTCCTGGGAGAGGTTGTTAAGCCACTTATTCATGTAGGCCTGTGCAAAAAAAGAACCTTTTTTCAATCTGTCTTTGGACTGGAAGGACAATGTTGTTTTTAGATAATAGAAGATTGGGACGCTCCATCTGTAGAGGAGAGGATTAGAATAGCAGAGGAACTAGCTGATGTTGAAACCTGCAGTGATTAAAACCAAGATGAAAATCAGTAGCATTAACTGTGTTGTCTGTACTGACTACCTCCTCATAGGCAGGACATCGTGAAAGTAGATTCTGCTATAAGCATTAATCAGGAAGGACTAAGCTAATCAAGACATCTCAGCATATTATTTGATAATGAGGTAAAGTTAGTCTGGAAATATGGATGCAAAAAAGGTGCTGCAGGGTATTTCCAATACAGAAATCAAGTAACAATTCATGAGGTACTGGTAAGAATCCTGTAGCAGTGTCTGTAGTCTTCAGGAAAGATTGACCAAACCTAGAAGAAGAGTTCAGAAGGGCATCCAGAGTGTACAGCTGAGACTAAAAGATTTGGGCTTGCTTAGCCTGGCAAAACCAAAAACTGAGTGGGGATAGTATTGCTGTCAACAACAGAAGTGAGGATGATGAGAAGAAACAGCTTAAGCTAAAGGAAAACAGCAGCTAGCGGGAAAGTGAGCAGAAACTGGGTGCAAATACAGGTAAGCAGGAAACAATAAAATAAATATATAATAAAATAAAGAATAATAACAGCAACAACAAAAAGATTCCTAGGTAGGTGGGAAATGGGATGGGGGACAAAAAAGATCCTTGCTGCTTCTGTGGTGTACTTTGCCGATAAAACCTCAAGATCAATTGCTTTATGTTGGGTTCAATTCCAGCTTTTCATACTATTAATCAAGTAGTCCATCCCCGTGTCAGTAGATGTTTAACTCACCATGAGAAGTCGCCTGTTGGAGCACTCTGAGGAATCACTCTTCTCGTGTCAGTGTCCGGGGTGTGAAACCTCTCCAACTGCATCAATGGAACCTGCAGAACTGCATCTCTTTCTGTCTCCTCCAGGTACTCCCAGTATTACAAAAGTCCGATGGAGCAGATGCGTGAGCATTGTGAAAACTACCCACCCTGTGACTATCTCTCTGAGCAAATAGGATTTCCCATGGCCTACAACCATTTCTTCAGGAGATACTGAAGATGGGATGGTCACTTCATGTTGCTTGGGACCACTCTGAAACCCACAGGAGAAAGAAGATTGTGGGAAGAAGAGAAGAAAAACAGCTCGACTGTGGCCTTCTTCAGTAGTCACCCTAACAAGCTAGAACAACAAGGCAGTAATTATCCCACGTGTTGAGCTTTCATTAGCTTTCTTCCTTTCATCAGAAATGTTTCTCTTCAGTCACCTTTTGTGGTATTTTGGGCTTCACCAGAAATGATTGAGAAGACTCTGTCTTACCTCCTTTTATTTGAATCCCCATGATGCAGTAGGCGAAAAAAACCCTGTTGTTTCTCTCACAAAAATCAATGTAGGCCTTAGAAACATAACAAGATCTTTTGTCCTCTTCTACAAAATACAGGAAGATTATAGGAGAATATCATAACATATGTATATATGACGGATCTGATCCTGGGACACTTATCAGGAAGAAAGTGGAGCAGCTGCCTCCTGGTATAAGGACTGGGAAATTTCACTATCTTCAGGTGGAATAATTACTGTATATATGTGCCAGTGTAGGATCATTCTGTAAGTATACAAGTCTGGAAATACTATCACATAGCCAGAAATCCAGTTGCGGTACATTCTTCTGATTATTTTGTCACAAAATTTGCCTGTGTGTCAGTAACAGATAAATCCCCAAAGGTGTGTTTGAGGGGTGCTTTCAGATGAGCCCTTCCATTTGTATGGTGCATTCCGTGACTGTCTGTAAAACGTAACTTGGAAATCTCTAGTTGTTTTCAGTACAATTGGTTTCTGGTGAAACTGAATATACCCAAGCAGAACAAAAAAGAATCTGTTCCTTTCTGATGCTTTAGCATTTATGCTTGAAATAAAAAACTCAAAAAAAGCAGGCAAACAAACAAACAAAAAGCAATAAACTTTATGAAATAAACAAAAGGAAAATCAGTTCAAGGATGGATTGAAGCTGGGTCAGCATTTAGTTTATTCAAGACAGCTTGCGTCTCTCTGACATACATATACATACAAAATACATATGTGTGTATTTATATACATAGCCTCTTTCTTCTGCACTACTTCATTCTGTCTCCTGTATGAATATTATACCTTAGCAACTTTCTGCACAGTCTCCCTTGATGTGCTCTGTTAGCTTTCCTTTCCTGAGAAGAAGGCAGATCCCATCTCCAAGGTCAGGGACTGCTGAGCCTCAGGAGACTGAGAAAGACTGAATCTCTCTGGTGCAGCCATCCAGAGCTGCTGGTTGCAATAAATATGGCTTACGTAAAGCAGGTTGGTGTGCTGCTACTCTCTGTTCCTCCGTGCAACCTTTATCTGCAGTTAAAGAGATGCCTGGAAGGGAAAGCCTGCTCCCATGTACCCTGAGGAGCAGGTCCAGGTGCATCCCCCGCTGTGCCCCAGCGTGGATCAGAAGTGACTGCACTGAAATTCAGGTCATGATCTCAGTACACTGACAGTGAGGGAGAGGAGAGCCAGGCTTTTCCTGATTCACCGTCTACTGAGTTCAGCATTTCTCTGAAAGACCTTGCCCTGAAGTAAGGACAGGGGATAAGTCCACAGGGATGGCTGCTAGTGTGAGCATCTCTTGTTTGGCCGGTTGCCATGACTTGCTCCAGCTATGCGGACCTTGGCCAAGGAGAAGACAGTGAGTACCTCTGCTTGTCTTGGTCAAACACCTGGGACTGGCTTCCCTGTTGGCATGAACTGATGGGGGTGCACTGCTCACAGCAAGACTCCCCTCTGAATGCCAGTTGGTAAAAATGAGCAAAGTGCTCACTGTGAGCAGTGAAAATTTTGCTGGGAAAAGTACTAGAGAGATTAGTGAAATCCTAATATCTGTTGTACTAAGAAGTTAGGGGTTTTGCTGTTGTATGGTTTTATTTGCTAAAAACGAAAATCAAACTTCCTGTCTATATTTGCATATTTATATTAGTTTTGCACTTTTTTCTCCCTTTCAGTAAATATGTTTTCTGGGAAGTTGCACACAAAGGCCTTGATCATGTCATTTGCTCTTTATATGAGCAAAAACATCTCGATGCAGATCTTTATATGAGCTGAAGTCATTATGGCCTTTGGGGATCTGAGTGGGCAAATCAGATTACAGATTCACTGCTGGACTGGGAGAGCTCGATTTTCACCTGATCAATGCAGATTGAAGTACCATTATAAATTCTCTGCTGCCATCTTATGGACATTATATTTATCGCCACGCGATAAATGGGCAATTTATCTCCATGCAATAGTACATTACGTTGCTTTAGAAGCGTTTGAAAATACAAATTCAGTGGGATTTCTTCCTCAGTCACTTCATACTGCAACATACACTTAGAGGCCAGAAGGGAAAATAGGGCGTTAATCTGCAACTGGATTATACACAGCTGAATTGACATGCTAATGGAGCTGTTTATCCTGATTGTCAGGTTCCTGCTGGAGCCTCACAGCTTAGCTCCTTTTTATCTCTACAAGAATGGAAGAGGAGATGCCTCTGAATAAATTCACAACCTCTTCTCTGGAGTCACTTTTAGCAGTCGAAATACAGCCCAAGATGATAGAGCAATTCCAAGAAGGAGAAGTAGATAGGCTGCATTTATGACTTTGCATCATCCGTCAGGTCATTGTCTCAAATCACCAGTGGCTGCAGATACTGTCAGCAGCACCAGCTGATGTGGTGTTATAGATCACTTTGAAAGGAACCCAGTATGAGACCTTATGTCAGCTCACCCTATCTCAGCAATATTTAGCAGCTGCTTTCTGTCCACAGAATCTAAGCAGCTGCATAAATGTCTCTTTTCCCAGGGAATCACACAATGATTGCAAATGCCCTCCTTACCCAGGCTATCACTGACAGGCAATGGGAAATGGATTTTACTTCTCTGAAGTAAGAACGAGGCCCTGACACCTCCTCTTGGTTCTTCTTCCATGCAGAAGAGTTGTCAGAGGCCATGGGGCTTCGCAGGTGAGTAACACACTGCCCTTTATTGGGAAGGGTGACTGGAGACCAGCTGCTAGAGGGGTCAGTCTCTGTATAGAATCTGTATTTACACACTCATTCTGAATGTATTTAATGTAAACAGTTCAACAAGGTGCTACTCTGAAGTGGTGTATGTGTAGGATCTGCAGCACATACTAGAAACCATGGGGGGAACTAAGGAGGAGCGGGACAGTCACATTATCTCTGCTTCCAGATGGGATCCCAACCTACCCTGTGTTTCTGTGTTGGCTTTATCAGAGCTCTGCACTACTTTAAAGGGGCTGTTTAAGCTCTTGACCAAGCTGTGCTCCCCAGCTCATCCTGACATATCAGTCCTCAGGAGAGAACTGCTTTAGACTTCTCCAAGATGGAGTTTTCTTCCTTTTCGCAAGAACAAGAACACCAAAAAACTTGGAATTAAGAGAATTATCAAGGTGAAGAACATTTACATTAGCTGGAGGTGGTGCAACCAGACCCTTCTGTATGGATTGTGGCTACACTTGTACCAGTGAATTGTCTGTTTGATTTGATAATGGCTTCTGAATTGCTGTAAGAATCTGACTCTTTGGTTGAAAAATCATCACCAAAACCTGAGTGCAAATTACAAACTGCCGAATTTTCCAGTTCAAGAAAAAAAGGGAAAGAAACAGATCTAATTGACCTCTACGGTGCCTTGGGTGGACTCTAGGATGCCAGGGCTGCTGGCCAGACTTCTGTTGCTGATTTTCTTACAAAGGCTGGTAAGAGGGGGTAAACACTGTTCTTTATTTGAAATGGTGAAATTGTTCATTCCACTGAAATAACTCCTTTTATTATTTTTTTTCCCCCTTTGAGACATGTTCTTTAAGGAGCTTTGGGTTCAGTTGCAATTATTCTCCTTTCAATTACTCTGTTCCATTTCTTACCTGCCCAAATTACTTTTAATTACTTGCTTGGAGATTTCCTCTCGTTTGGAGCCAGATGGTTTCCCAGGTTGTGTCTGTGAATAGATCTCATGTACCTCTCCTTTTCCAGCCAGTCTCAGCTGAGGCTCTGACAAAAGCAGTGTGTTGTTGGCATGGACAGTGACAATATTGCTCTATTCCTTGTGACTGCCTTTTAGTTTTCCTTTAAAGCAATTATGGTATCATGGAGAAATAAACTGAACCCCTGTATAGTTTATGGGCTGGTATATCTTCAGAGGCTAAGAAAGGTATTGATTTGGTTATGTATCTAGGATGAATGTTTGAGATAAAGTGAATATCTATGTGTAGAACTCAATTGTCAACTGACCACAGTACTTGACTCGTCTCAAAGACCAAAAAGAACAATGTCATAATTCACAGCAGTTCTTAGGTCTTATTGTACAAGACTTTTATTAATTAGAAATTCCTGAAACAGACAATTAGCATGCCATTTCGTAGACAGTATATATCAGAGGTAATTTCCCTGTTACCCAGTTGTGTAAATCCTTACACCTGTGTTTAATGTTTATTTACATGACAGGTCCAGCTGGCCTCACTGAGACAAAGTGGATGAATAAAAGTTTTGGCACAGTGCTCCTATATTGTCCTTTACTGAACATCATGCACTGGAGCCAAAACATGTCCGAGAGGTATTAGAGGACAGAAAGAAGTTATTCACCCCTGAGGTGTTCAGGCTGCACTGCCCTGATCACAGTTTTTATTTATTCTTTCCCTCTTCAAATCACTTACTAATCATGAGCAGAATATTGAAATAAATGGACCATGAGTTTGTCCTGCAGGCTCTATACACTCGCCTTCTGATGGGCAAACTCTCCTGAAGTTTTTAATGACACTGATCCACATAAAATAAGAATTCTGGCATCCTGGCTGGCATTTGCCTGAGGTGGGGCTTGGGCAATAACCTGAGGTTGCTCAGGAAGGGCCTGTCAAAGATGCCTACCTGCCATACTTACTCTGCCAATAATGACAAAAAGGCAAGTAGAGGGTAGGGAAAACCCTGGCTTGCATCCATAGAGATACACAAAAAGCTCACACTTCTGATGCTAACCTTCATTTGTTTTTAT